AAGTTAACAATGTACTACTAATGTATGTTTTCAAATGTGTAAAATTAACGGCATTGTTGATATGTTCTTATATACATGTGAACTGTTATTTTAAATGTTAAGAAATACCGTGATATGGTAAAAGTGAAAGTAATGTTAAAAAAGTTTTGTTATTCGTGTGACTGTAAAGATTAAATCATGGCGAATATGTGGTAAAGGTTGAATGATGTAGTTAGGCTCTCTGACGCTACACTTTAGAGTTAGCCACTTTTAGAATAGTACCTCAGGGTTTAGAGTTGAAAGTAGGGTGTGTTAAGAGGTCTCGTTATGTTGAATTTTAACACGTTAGTGTTTTGATTGTAGGAGGAAGTGTTGGCAACACGTAGACAGAAAACACATTCGTGTTTGGTGTTCTTTTACAACACATGTCAGAGAGCACGGGGAGAGATAATTAAAATAGTCATGAATGAAATAAGAATGTTAAGAGAAGTATATTCTATATGTTATTTGCCAATGTCATTGTGTAACATTTCATTAAACTAGTTTTCCTTCCAGATCTCTGGAAGGAACCAGAATTGAATAAAGCTCCTGGTTAGATGCAGTACAGATGGAAAAAAAAAAGATTGTTGTATATCCTGGGAGCTGCTATTGTAACAAATTTCTTTCTTTTAAATTTTCTAGTTTCTAGCGAAGTTATAATTGTAAAAGGTTGGCCTCGCGTTAGATTCTAGAGCTAAAAGTTTTCAACAAGGTCGTTTTAGACCTCAGTTTCAAACTAATTAACTCTGGCGGGAAGTATGTAAGGATCTTAAGTTTTACTAACGTTTATTTTATTTTAAATCTTTACTATCACTTCTTATTTTCTACTTCCGGCCAGAATTATAAGCGTGAAGGATTTTATGCAAAGTTTGTCTGGCGAACGCCAAGTATTTAAGTGTGGCCTTTTTGCCAAGCGAAAGAGAGGAAGCAGTGAGTTCGAAGCAGGCCGCTTACCTTAGAAGTTACGCAGTTGCTATTTGCCTTCCAGGCCAGAGGTTTTAATCCTCTTGATAAATTAAACGTATTGTAGTGTTCACAGTCTCTGTGCTACATACGCTTTCTGTTATTATAAGGCCAATCTTATTCTAAAGTTAAATTAGAGTTTAGTTTTATTTTGATATCTTTTAAGTTAGACCCCGAGTGGAGGGTCAGTGTATTCCGAAGTACGGAAGTCATTGTATATAAAGAAAAATAAAGGGTTTTGTATACCCTTCGTCTGTATCGTGTCTACTTACTACAATTAGTGAACATAGCTTTAGTAAGCTCTCTGTTCTTAGTCAGGTCCTTGTATGTTTCCGAAGAAGGTAGAAGAAACATTGAACCTGATAAGTCCAGCAATACCAATTCTCAGCCTGAAAATAATGATGTAGCTAATTCAAACTCAAATATATCTGCAAATATTTCATCTAATAATATTTGTAATATAAATGTAAATGCAAGTGGTTCTCAACAGCACGCTTGTTCAACGTGTAATTCCCCCTCCCCCATAATGGTTAGGCCTGAAGCAAACTTTAAGTTTAATGATTTTTGTAAGGACTCAGCCGCTAAACTACCTGATGTCAAGTTTTTATTCCGTCTGAATGGTGAATTTCTAAGTGTTTTACCCCGCACTGATAATGATCATAGGACTCTGAGTAAATACTGTCTCGAAAAAGGTATCGGTCATCTTCTAGTCAATTTTAGGCATGAAAAGTCTATTAAGCTTCTACAGAGAGGGCTACCTTCTGATATGGAGGTCTCCGAAATCAAAGATGAGTTAGTTAACCAAGGATTCAAGGTTCACAATGTAGTGCAGCTGACAAAAAATAGGACTCGGGCCCCCATGCCCTTATTTCAAGTACAGTTATTTAAAAATGAAGTAATCGATCGAATCCATAAACTGACTGACCTGTGTCTATTTTCAATTACGGTGGAAAAAATATGTTTTGAAATTCCTAGTTCCGCAGTGCTTTAACTGCCAGAAATAGCACCACTCCTCGGAGAATTGTCATGTTTCCCCACGATGCGTGAAATGCGCTGGACGTCATAAGACTCAGGCCTGCGATAAAGGACGCTTAGACGTCCCTAAGTGCTGCAACTGCAGAAAAGACGGTCACCTAGCCTCGTATGGGGGCTGTGAAAATTTTCCTAGCCTTAAGAGACCTAAGAAGCCCTCTTCTGTTCGCCGCAATGGTGTGGGTTATGCTCAGACTTTAAAATCAGGTAATGAAGAACAAAATGCCAATTCCTCTTCGGAACCTCCTGCTATGGGCTTAAATTTTTCTACAAATTTCACCAACGGTAGAAACGGCATGAACTCCAGTAGTTTGCCAAATGGCAGTAATCTGATGGAATTATTGGAACTAATGAAAATTCTATCTGAATTTCAAAGAGCATTTGAAACCAACCTACACAAGGTCATGCAAATTTTTAAAAGTAAACTGCCTATTATGCAGGCTGCAAATGACTTAGGTACTAAATCTAACATCCTCTACTCTGTTATGGAGGAAATAAACGCTTTAAATTAACTTTACTTCCTATGTAGCTTATTTTGTGCTAATCTTAGTAAATCTCTCAAAAATTAACTCTATAATACATTTATAAAAATATGTAATTGAATGTTTAAAAAATATGTAATTGTCTGTATTTAATTGTTTATATTTAACTGTTTAACTTTTGGTACCATCTCTTGCTTTGGTTCAGACTGCTGGGTATTTTTGCACTCCTTAATTTTTGCTTCCTCTTAGTTAAAGTCTACTCCTCATCTTACTTGCATTTTCCCTAGCCTAATTTGAGCTTCGCCACTGGTATAGCCCTGAAACATTTGATCGACGACTTTTTCCACTTCCTACACCTGTTCCTGATCGACGTGATATCACAAGCGCCTGGCCCCAGCCCCCACCCCTGTTTTATTGGTTGCCGTTTATGACGTCATACTGAAAAGATACCATTATCTGTTTCGTTTGAGTTATGTCAAGGGGAACTTACAACTACTTTGGATTTGGTTATGTCCTGTGTTAATGTGAATTTGTGCGATGTAACAGAATATTTGCAATTAAAACGAACCTAACAATATAAGAAAATATGTTGGCACTTTTTATATAAATTGTTAATGCTATTTCTTGACATTGCTTCGTCAGCAATGTCAAGAAATAGCATTTAACTCTTACTGTCATATCTATAATTCATAGTTCTATTTGGGAGAGCTTTCGATTTCTATATTCGATTCAAATCACTACTTCAATTAAGTCTTAATGACTTTTATTTACACACATCTTTTATATAACAATATATACATATTCGAGATTAATTTCAAATCAAAAGATGGGGATTATCCCCCCTTCGTATCAAATTCTATCGAGAGAAAACCAAGTGAGCGACCGCTCTCTTCCAAGTTCTTTTTTCGACTCCCCGTTGCCCCTGGCTGAAGAGAAACTTTCGCTCATTTCACGTTCGAGTTGTAACATTTCTCCCACCTTTTGATTTTTGACAAAGTATGAAAAAATCAAAACAATTCTGAAATGAAAATTGAAATACGAATATAAGATGAGTAATTTAAATCTTACCAAAATCAACAATTTCATCTAGGCGTAACAAATACCTTGAATATTTTAAACTTACTTAATATTCTGCAAACTTACATTCTTAAAACAACAGGCAAAAATTCTTTTCTGAAAAATACTAGCAAAGAGATTAATTCACTAAACTGGAAAATCAAATTGTATACAAAATTTAAATTCAAAGAAAGAAATAAAGAAAACAAATAATAGTTGTATTGAAAACAAAATTAAACTAATTAAAGTTGTTTGGTTTCCCAATTTTTCTGCCATATCTACTAAACTGAATGTTTTTATCAGAATTTTCAAGTTCACAGTCTTCGGTATCAATTACTTCACTAGTTGGCCACTCTTCCTCGTTCTTCATAAGCCATTCTGGCCCTTGCCACCAGCGAGATTTCACAAAACTCTTAATTGAACACCCTCGTGATGGTATATCTGCTGGATTCGAATTTCCTGGAATGTGACGCCATTCAGATTCCGATGACAATTTTCGTATCTCTTTTACTCTATTTGCGACAAATGGCGTCCAATGGTCGTCTCTTTGGATCCAAGAAAGAGCAGTACTCGAATCTGTCCAATAGTCCCTTAGAACGTTGTCTAATTTGAGTGTTTGTATAGCAAGAGCTGCGAGTCTGATTCCTATACAGCAGGATATTAATTTTAGACGATTTATGGTCATTTTTCTTAATGAACTCCCTCTGCTTTTAGCTAGAAGAAAATACACCGATACATTTTCACTTGTTTCTTTTCTTAAATAACTCACACATCCATAGGCTTGTTTACTTGCGTCACAGAACGTATGAAGACTAAGACTTTCATTTCCGTTTATATCTAAAGCCCTTGGAATTCTAATACTGGATAAAAGTGACAAATCGTCAATCCACGAATAGAACTCTTTTCCTAAGTCTTCGGGTATATTTGTATCCCAACCAATTTTTAATAACCACGTCTTTTGTATGAGTAGTTTGGGTGTTAGCTTTATAGGGCAGAGAAAACCCATGGGGTCGAAAATGCAATGTACCGCAGACAATATATTTCTTCTAGTAAGATTCACTGGTTTGTAAGTAGCAGTCTTCATCTCACAGAAAAGGCTATCATCTTCCTTATCTCATAAAATTCCCAATACAGGAGTAGGTTCTATACTGTCTTCAGATTTCAAAAGAGAAGTGTGCTCCCACCCTCTCAATCGAATGACTCAGAATCTAATATCTGTTTCGATTCCTCGATGAATCGCGTAAGTGTTTCTTCATCAGGAACAGATGTGATGCAATTATCTACGTAGAATGATTCTTTTAAATTTTTCGCTGTTTCAGGGTATTTAGACGATTTTAGATCAATGTGATGGCTTAATACAGCAGCCAATAAAAAGGGACTGCAATTCAATCCAAAAACAACGCGTTTATGTCTAAAAACTCTAAGTTCCTTCTTGTCAAAGTCTTTCCATCATAAAAATCGTAAGAAATCTCGATCACTCTTATTCACTGACATTTGCAAAAAAGCCTTTCTTATGTCTGAAGTAACTCCTATTCTATTCTTGCGAAATCTTAAAATTCTAGGAATAATTTGTTCCATCAAATTTGGACCCTTTTCTAGGCAATCATTAAGTGAGCGCGAATTTTTGTCTTTACAGGAAGCATCAAATACTGGTCGCAATTTCGTGGTCGAAGTTCTTGGTTCTTTGAATACCCCTTTATGTGGTAAATAGTGACACTGATTATTCATTTCGTGTTCAGGGACTTCTTCTATAATTCCTTCATTTAACCAATCTGTGAAAACATTTTCGTAATCCTCGAATTTGCCTTTTTGTATCAACCGGTGTGTCGTACTGTTTAAACGCTGTCTAGCAATATCGAAATTTTGACTTAAACAGTCCTTTTCTGTTACCCAAGGCAACTGAACCTCATACCTTCGCCCTTTAAAGGTAACAGTTTCGTTAAAATGATTCAATGCGGCAATTTCCATTTCCTTTCTACATTTTGTTTCAACAGGGTCTTAAATCCCCAATAAATCTAATTTCCACAAATTTTCAATCTTCGATGTGTGAATTAATAAAGAAGTCACTGCGAAGGCATTAGTTACATTTTCACCATTTTCAATACGATCAAATAGTTTTCCCATTAAAATCCAACCCATTTTGGTTTCCATTGTAACTAATGATGAGTTCAAACGTTCAATTTTGTCTTTTACTAATTTCCAATAATTATCAGCTCCAACGAGTAAAGATACGTTGTTGTTATCTAAAGATTCGTGATCAACATCCGCTAAAAATTATTCCCCTATCTTTTAAAAACTCCTTAATATTTTGCGGAGGATAGTCTAGCTCAGCACTCGATATTTCATCAGTCTCTAAAACCTGAATAATTAATTCCTAATTATCGAAAATGTTTTTTATTTTTACTTCTACTCGCGCACAGTTCTGTTTGGTAGGCACTTGAGATCCGAAAGTATGAATCATTATTTCTTCCCTTCCCACGACTTTTAATCCTAGTTCTTTAGACAGACGTTTCTGAATATACGAGCGTTGACTAGCGCTGTCATATAAATTTACTTTTTATCGTGTGTCTGAATTCTAGCCAGTCCACCTGGGAGAGTTTCATTTTAGGATTTAAGTTATGCTCTTCTTCTATATTTGTTATTTCGTAGGTTATATAATTATGATCACTTAGGTTTGCTTCTTCTATAACTTTCCAATTTATGATTGCTAATTGATTATGTCTTTTGAGAAGTGTCAGGTCGATCCAGGAAGTCCCTCTGGCTCCTGAGAATGTTGGGGGCTTTCCGGATCGTTTAAGATACTCATGTCCGTGGTAGCCAAGAAATCACATACCTTGAGTCCTCTTGGATCTGGGTGATTTGGGCTCCATATTGGATGTTTAGAATTAAAGTCCCCGCTGATGATGATGGGGATGTCTTTTTGATTCGCTATTTGACTTTCTAATGTGCTGAGAATTGGATCTATGTCTTGTGAAGGCGGACAATAGACCGATATCATAATGAATGGGGTACTCCCCTCTATCCTAATTACACATATTGACTCGTTGCTGTACAGTTCTAATGCTGGGATTTTGCTATCTGTTAAGATAATTGCTGCTTTTGCCCTATTTTTTGCGTAATACTTCCTATAGTGTAGTGGTGTAGTGGAAAACCACGTATTTGGCCGTCTTTTGTGTAGAATGCATGCTATTTTTATATAACTATTTGTTTCTAAGTAGTCTCTTAAGTATGTAGTCGCATCCCTTGACTGTTGAAGATTTATCTGAATTACTGTGAAACTACTCATAATTTATTCTTTGCTTATACCTTTGTAATTCCTTAATGAAGCATGCGCAATGTTTACTTCTACTATTGTGGTTTGTTTCCAGTCCTGTCACAAAACACCCAAGAATACGTCACGATAGTTTATCGCAAATCTGACATGACATCAGAAGAGGTACGTGAAAAAGTAGTTAGTAAATAAACCCAGCACGCCTTAAAGTCGGGGTCAAAGCAGTTAGAAAAGTAAGAAAAGGAGGGATTCTGATAAAAGTAGACAAGAAAAAGGAACTAGACATTCTAGAAGATGCGATAAAAGAAAACTCTAAGTTAATAGAGATTGTAGAGACTAAAAGACCAATTAAAGTCAATCCTAGGATAGTAATATACAACGTAGACAAAGACCTTGATAAGGACTTAATAAAAGAGAAAATCTTAACTCAAAATCCAGGGATAGAAAAACGCTGAGATAGCAATACTTTTCCATATGAAAGGCAGATTCGGTAATAACTGGGTAGCCTCTATAGACCCGACCGCTACCAGCTTCAAAGCAATAATGGAGACTAAGAAAATTAATATACAGTGGACCAGGAATAGTGTCAGGGAATTCATTCAAGTTTCTCAATGCACAAAATGCTTAGGCTATAACCATTCAGCAAAAAAACTGTACAGCACATCCTCGGTGCACAAGATGCGGATCAGAAGAGCACTTCAAAAATGAGTGTAACAGACAAACTCCTAGATGCATTAACTGCCACAATGTTAATACAAAATTCGAAACAGGACTGGAAACAAACCACAATAGTAGAAGTAAACATTGCGCATGCTTCATTAAGGAATTACAAAGGTATAAGCAAAGAATAAATTATGAGTAATTTCACAGCAATTCAGATAAATCTTCAGCACTCAAGGGGTGCGACTACATACTTAAGAGACTACTTAGAAACAAATAGTTATATAAAAATAGCATGCATTCAAGAGCCCTACACAAAAGACGACCAAATACGTGGTTTTCCACTACACTATAGGAAGTATTACGCAAAAAATAGGGCAAAAGCAGCAATTATCTTAACAGATAGCAGAATCCCAGCATTAGAACTGTACAGCAACGAGACAATATGTGTAATTAGGATAGAGGGGAGTACCCCATTCATTATGATATCGGTCTATTGTCCGCCTTCACAAGACATAGATCCAATTCTCAGCACATTAGAAAGTCAAATAGCGAATCAAAAAGACATCCCCATCATCATCAGCAACGGGACTTTAATTCTAAACATTCCAATATGGAGCCCAAATCACCCAGATCCAAGAGGACTAAAGGGGTATGCGATTTCTTAGCTACCACGGACATGAGTATCTTAAACGATCCGGAAAGCCCCCCCCCAACATTCTCAGGAGCCAGAGGGAGTTCCTGGATCGACCAAGTGACACTTCCTCAAAAGACATAATCAATTAGCGATCATAAATTGGAAAGTTATAGAAGAAGCAAACCTAAGTGATCATAATTTATATAACCTACGAAATAACAAATATAGAAGAAGAGCATAACTTAAATCTTAAAATGAAACTCTCCCAGGTGGACTGGCTAGAATTCAGACACACGATAAAAAGTAAATTTCAAAATAACAGCCGACAGCAGATTAAGAAATATAAAAGACATAGACAAAACAAATAGAAGACACCACCGTCCTCATTCAGGAGACATACGACGCAACAAAGAAAATCGCAAGTAGGCCAAATCCGACACCACAGAAGCAATCCATGGTGGACAAAAGAATTAAACATCCAAAGAAAGAAGGTACGAGCCCTAAAGGCGCCGTTACCACCGGGCTCCTGATTCAATAAGGAAAGATTTCCGTCTTAAATATAAGATCGAACAAGCTAAATATAAGAAAATAATTTTCAAAGCAAAAAGAGCTTCATGGGACGCATTTTGGCAAAGCCTACAGATCACATCCCCCTTTGGCACTTATTATGATATTGCCAAGGGCAAAAGATTAGGTCCCCTCCAACTAAGTGCCATCCAAAAGGGTGACGGCACCCTAACTTCCACCATCGAAGATACATTAAAAGAAATTCTAAGTTTCCACTTTCCCGACGATCCAAGCGTCAATGACACGGATGAGCACAGACTAATAAGACAGAAAGCAACGAGTCCCATAGACACTCCACATGATGTAGACTTTACGAACATAGAGATAAGAAAAGCAATAGAAAGCACAAAGAGAGGCAAAGCGCCAGGGTTGGACAGGCTTAACATAGACTTCGTAGATGAATTGCGACTAGCCAATCAGGATCTTTTAACCCAAGTATTCAACGCCTGCCTTCATACAGGATATTTTCCACGTGCATGGAAAAATGCAGAGTTAGTTCTCTTCAAAAAGGAAGGAAAGAACCCCAAAGACCCCAGCGCCTATAGGCCGATCTGCCTCCTCTCGGCCTGGGGCAAAGTTCTTCGATAAGCTTCTGACACAGCGTCTAGTACATCACTTAGACTCAAATAACCTACTGCACAAAGCACAATACGGATTTAGAAAAGGTCAAAACACGATAGATGCCCTTGAGAACCTACAAAAGATCATCAACGAGAACAAAACAAATGGGCTACACACATGCGTCATAGCTCTCGACGTCACCTCGGCCTTTAACAGGCTCTGGTGGCCAGGTCTAAAGGAACAATTAATAAGACTCAGATGCCCCAAGAATATCTACAGGCTAACTAAGCAGCTATCTTCTTCACGATAGAGTTATAACTTACCAAAGAGACGGTGTTCACATCACACACACTTACCAAAGAGGAGCGCCACAGGGGTCTAACATCGGCCCGACCCTGTGGAATATCATGGCTAATACGGCTTTAGAATTAGATTTGGAAGACACAGCAAGTCTTCAAGCTTATGCTGACGACTTCATCTTAGTAATTAACGGGGGGGGGTAACAGACTTATTATAGAACGGAAAGCAGAGAAAGCTCTCTCCATCATTTCTGCGTGGAGCTCAAAGTATAAACTAGATTTTAGCATAATAAAACTAAGATGATAATCTTTCCAAAGGGCAACAAGATAATTAACAGTCCCCCCAGGATAAAATGGCACGGCCAAACATTAAAGAACCAGGGCACTCTCAGATACCTCGGCTTCCTATTGGATAGCAAACTAACGTGGGTTCCCCACCTATCAGATATAAGGAACAAGACTTGCAAGATAATAAATACTTTAAACCGAATAATAGAGTCCAAATGGAACTTAAAAGG